TACAAACTACACATACAACATACAACTGGTGAATTCTTTTTAAAGAACTAAAATCAGTTTTTTTGGGAGGCACTCTGACCTTTTTTCATCAGGAAAAACAAAATTTCTCGACTCCTTTGCTTGTAATACATATAAATATAAAAAAAAAAGATAAAATATTTTTAAAAATATTATTGTAAATAATGGACAAAACAAGCACGCAGACACGGTTGAAGCAGGTCGTTAGTGGGAAAAAAATTCAGGTAGCAGACGTTCACACTGGATTCTGACTGCAGTTTCATTGAAACTATCATTTGAACAACAACGCCTTTCCTCTTCTTTTCATAGACGTTTTAGACAATTTATTAACAAATTAAATAAACCCTGCACATGAGATCACAATACTGTAAACCTTAACGCTGTCTTCCTGTGACAGTGGACCGACTTAAAGTTCAAGAATGTAGCATTCTGTGATCAAATATATCAAACTCATCCAACAGTAACTCAATCAAAACAGGGCGAGCCCAGTCATGGCCCTGTAGTTACACTTTCAGTTTACTGAGAAGAAGGAGCCAGTGTTTATTAAATATAGTTGTTGAGGTGAAAAAGCTCTGCTCACTTTCTGGCCCGAAAGCTTAATTTTAGTATTGTTGTAATATTAATAGTATTTATTTTATCCTTAGTTTTATTGACATATTGTCTAACAATATGTCTGACAGTGTCAGTTTGAAGACTGTTTGTATAATGCGGAAAATTGTTTGTGTTTGGATTAAGTGGCCTCCTGTCAAATAGAAGAAAGTAAAACTGACTGAACATTGTCCTGTTGTTTTCACTGTTGTTTGGGTTGAGCTGAAACACACACTGCAAGTCCCCGTGTTTCTACAGAGCTGGGACATCACTGTATTCCAGTTGATTGCATGTTTACTGCGACCCAGCCCAAAGAAGTATTCGGTGATTGTACACAGTACCGGCAAATACACAAACGGTCGGTTTGACAGAACCATATTGGGACAATACTTAAGAAATCAAATTGTTTTTGCTTCAAAACACCAAGAGTTTAGATTATCCTTAGATACATACACTTCTACTTGTTGACTAACTCAACAAGGACAGAATATACCACCGTATATTCTGAGCCTTCTGACCCTGACCCTGTACAGTCAGCTGTCCAGTCTGACTTTCCAAGCATCGATATCTACGCGTGTCTGTGTATAACAGATAGAAATGAACGCCCGTGTTAAATAAGGCTCGGAGTGAATTACTGGACTTGACATTGTAGTTTTCATTGCATTTACATGGTTTATGTCTTCTCTAAACGCCCAGCAGTTAAAAGCCTGTCCACAGAGTCCAGTGACAGGCCGCAGATGATGATGGGCCGGACTGGGTCCCCGGTGGAGGATCCCATTCCTCTCCTCTCATCCAACAATCCCACTGAGCATGTCAATATGAAACACTATCCCCCCACACGGGGGCCATGCTGCTGCTCTCCCTCCCATTATAGACAAGACTGACTCATATTGATAGGATGCGCTTGTAAACTACAGCATCCGTGCGTGAAAAGAAACATGGCGTGGTATGGAGAGAAGTGTAAATTAGATCAGATCAAGTCAGCCAACAGTAAAGCACATTTTCACATTATTGCACTCAATGTGAGCGTGATTTACACGACTCCTGCTGCAGCCCGTGTGGGTTTAGGAGGGGGGAAAAATGGGCCATAAAGCTTTGTTTACCCCCAACTTTAAAAAATCCAAAGCCTTGTAAATGTTGTCAGATGGGCCATGCCAGTATCTTTCAGCTTAATACTACCTATATTAAATAGTTTAAATATTTCATAAGGGCGGTTTTTAAGGGCGAGGGAGGGGAAATCGTTAGCTGCGGTAAAGTTTCATTAACTGGTCCCCATTTTGCTGCGAGGCAAACTCATCTCCTCTTATTGTAATAAAACAATCTCTCTCTCTCTCTCTCCGTTTCTCTCTCTCTCCCTCTTACTCCCCGTCTCACTATACTCATCTTCCTCTCTCCGCCGTCCTCTCTCTCTCCCCCCTTCTCTTTTACATCATAATAATACACTACATCCCCTTTAAATGCACTATTACTTACCGCTGCCTTTTCATATTGTAACATCACGGGCACTTTAGTGACAATATAAAAGCGTGTCATTCATTATTCAGAAGCAGCCGGCCTCGTCCCCCTTTTAAAAAGTCAGGCGCGCTGCTGAAATTGATAACGGCGCAGAGACGCGCAATAAAAACGCAGCCCGCGGGCAGCGAGCTGCAGCCCAGACCCCCGATTATGCAGATCAGAGGGTAATTTCTCAAACAAATCGCACTCTTTCACTCTTTTGTTGTCGTTTCTTTTTAGACTTTTGGAATGGTGGTGTCACTTTTTATTGCCTGTAGGGGGGGAAACGAGGATTGATGTCAGACCTAATTGCCGGTGCAGGCTGATGTGGGCCTTTTTTTTCTGCTTCCCAATACCCTGCTCAGGTTGGGGGACAACCTCGGAGGCCGAGGCCAAGGCGTTCCGGTTATGTGTTTTAAGAACACTCTAGGTGTTAGTTAGGAGGTGTTTTTTTTTCTGCTGTGAGGTAATATAGAGGTGCGACACTGCCTTTGGTTTTCAGATCATAAATAAAAACCATAAGGCCCAGGAGGAGGAGGAGGAGGAGGAGACACCGCGGGGCCTCTCCGGGTGTGCGCTCTTTGGATAACCGGTGTCTCGGTGCGGCTCCGCCAGGTCAGAGCTAATGTGTCATAATCTCTCATAATCATTGGATTACAACGGATTACTAACAGCCAACTTCTGCGACCGGTGAGACCCCGTCTGCTTAGTACAGAGGGATGTACATGGACTGGCTGCACTCCGGAGACTCGTCAGAAGAATAATTAATAATTATCACTCATAATAATAGGAGGTCCATTCACGTATGTGGTATAAAACTATGGCCTTCAATTATACTAGTTAACTAGTTATTATTATTATTAATAATAACACCGATGTTGTTAATATTGATTGTATTATTATTATTACAAACAAGCCTATCTGAGAGAAACATAAAAATGTTCGCAGAGATGACAGCTATAACTGACCACTTCTCCCCCATCAAAAGCCACCGGTGAGCTCACATATGGCGGGGTGACGCAGCCAACACTCCGTCTGTCCATATTGCCAAACAAACACCTCGGGCTCTGTCCCAGCTCATATTGCTTCTTTTTATTGTAGCGGGAGAGATGCAGATTATATATATATATATATAAATGTATATATAGTCACCCACTTTTTTTTACATTTTACATACATGTATACGTATATATCCATATATACCCGTGTTTATATATTTACGTATACATATATTTATATATATACATATACTAAAGTCTGCATCTCCAAATATGCACGACACTGTATATACATATACAGACACACATGCATATTTATATATGTATTCATAACTACATGGACATATATATGTATTTATTTACCAACTACACTTTGTAGGTTTTTTTTTTTTTTTTCAGAATGCGCTTCTTGATAATATGTTTTCTTGGAATACACGCACAAATGATAATGGGAATAAAATGTTTAAAATAAATATTTATCCCTTTAAAACAGAGCCTACAGTTTAATGTGGACACACACACACACATACATATATAGGTGTACATATATTAAGTTTGTTTCATGCATGTTTGAGCGTTTATTCTGATATTCCAAAGTTATTGGTGGCCTCAGAGTTTTGTTTGGGAATTGACGAATACAATTCTATCTAGTTTTCTTTTTTTTTCAACATCGGACTAAGTCCTCCCCACTGCAGACATTGAATAAAAAATGTTAAATAAACTAGAAGCCCAAACTATTTACATACATAAATACAGACCTTAAAGTGGTGCGCGACGAAGCAGAAGCCCCGCTCTGTAAAATGAATATGTTTCCTATTACTTTGTTAACGTCCGCTGTAATGTGATAGTTTAAAAAGCCACCTGCCGCATCCAAACCCGACACGCATTTGTCTGCGTCCCAGACAAGTTGCTGGGTGAAAATGAGATTATCTGGTCACTTTGGGCACATGTTACATTGAATCTGAGCGGCTGTAGCAGCTTCCACAGTCCGGTCACTTTATCTGGAGTAGCCCGTGGCCCTTCCTTGTCAGGTCATTTAATGTGCTGCCGGCTCCCAGGAACAAATAAGGGCCACGTAACGTACGTTGACAAGCTCAATGGCCGCCGATGATTCACTGCCGCACTCCAATAAGGCCGCAGTCCTTATAGTCTATATATTAGAGGAGCCTTGGATCATGGATTGGATGTGCGTAATTACGCACGCGTCGTAAGTAATTCATGCGGTTTTAATGTTCGTATAAATTTCAGGTTACTAACTTCACTTAAAGTATTTATATGTAATTTTAGATTTTACACTTAATGTGTTAAAAACTTATATATGTTTATGAGATATAGTTGTATTTTGGCATATAGAAAACTGTATTTTGTTAAGGAAGGAAAAGTACCACACAAGCTGCACATTTGTTTTATTTCTTTTGTGTTTGATTTGACTGATTTATTTTATTTTTTAAATCATAAATTCATATTTCTTTATTCATTTCAATTCATCGTTTCTCTATTTAATATTAAATGACACATGGTTTAGTTTACTGACATGCCTTTAAATTGTTTTTAAATTGAGTGAACTTATTCACGCCACGTGTTTCTTATGCGTCAGATGAAGTAGTGACGCAGGGCTGACGATGTGCACAGAGAGTAGTGAAGTCTGAAACGTCAACATGTGTCAATTCATTAGAGTTTGGTTTCAAGAAAAAGGTTTGAATTTCATATCTGTGATTTTTTAAATCTTAGTACAAAAGGTCAGAAGACTGAAGGAAATGACTGATAAAAACCTATGAACAGTGACCCTCCCGTTAAACTCTGCTGTTTCCCCCTCTTTCTTAGTATTTCTAAAGCAACATCAAATATTGACTGGTTCGGAAGTCATTAAACTGCAGTTTCTCCTTTGGTATTAAAGTATATATTAAGTTTTATTATCGATAGTAAATATATATATATATATATATATGAACCAGTAGTTGTGGGACGTCACAGTAATGATGCCAAATCCTGGGCCTTCCCCCGTTGACATTCAATCAGTCACTCTGGTGCCAGCAGCCAATGAAAGGTGGAGATGGGTGGAGGAGGAAGGAGCTGCTAGACGGAGCGTTTTGACGCGCTGAGAGGAGGACGGAGCGTCACATCTCTCCAAACGCCCGTCAAACTTTTTACCACAGCCAGTGGAGAAGACACTGTCCTCTCGATGAGGCCGGTCAGAGACTAGAAACACACGGTGGACGCTGGGATCTCGTCTGAACAGCGATGGAGACACTGGAGCCGATTGTTTTTGCTACAATTTGACCCTGCTGTGAATCGGACTCAAGCATCCTGTGCACATTTTCTAAATTGTTTTCTGAGGTACGGAGACCGGAGATGGAGCAAGCACCGAGCGCGACGAGTCCTCCTCCTAAACCAGCACATCACGAGCCCATCAGCTTCGGCATCGACCAGATTTTAGGATCTGGAGCAGAACCAGAAAACGGGCGCACGGCTGGAAGACAGAGTGGCTCGGATTTAAGCAGCGGAGACGGTTACTACAGTTTGGGAAGCCCGACCTCGGCTAGTGCGCCCTCGTACACCGCGCTGTCAATCTCCCTCTCCGGTATCATGCCTCCGGTGGAAGCTTCGGGTTCATACGGTGAAAACAGGGGTCTGGGCAGCCGGGGAGTGATCCGAGTGCCGGCCCACAGACCCGTAACAGCCACGGGACCCCCGGCCCCTGTCCAGGGCGCAGTGCCTGGCTTTGGAGGTCTGTGCTTCCCGTGGATAGGGAACAGATTCGCCAAGGACAGAATATCAGGTAGGACAGCTGTGAGTCCTAATGGATTCCCCTTCATTAATATTGTATTGGGTTTAAAACGTCCAGAGCTGCTGATGGAGCATTTAAAAACAACCGTCACACCTGTGCCAAGCACGTGTAAAAGCTATTTTCAGCCAAATAAAAGGTCTCCCGTTTAAATTATTAAACTGGCCAAAGCAAAGGAATACAGCCAACATAATTCAAGTTGAAAATAGCTTCATTCATTAGCGCTGTTTTTTTTTTAATTTCAAGCCCACTGCATTTACAAGGCATTAATATTTTACACTGTGTGTTAACAGTGTCTTCACTCATGTCTTAATGGTCTACATTAACAAATATGAATAATTGTGTTTGTTTTTTTTAAATCAACAACATGGGTTTGTCATTTAATTGTAGTACAAAATGAACACTGTATATTAAAATGGACTGAAATAATATTATGAAGATGTAGCTAGAATTATTGTTTTATATTTCCTAATTTAAACGCTATGATATTGTTAGCTTTATCTCAATACCGACATCAATTATGACAAAATTAAACTACGCAAACATAATAAACGGGCTTCGTCTTCATCAGGAGAAATAATAATTGTGGCTATAAACGGATTAAAGATGATTCAAAACATTTTAACAAGTTTTTAGAATTCAAGATTAAATCAGGATAAATTAGAAGAACTGGGTGTTAACCTGACAGTAGTTACTTGGTAAAAAAAAAAAACACAAAAAAAACCCAGAAGAACAGACCAGTACGTAGGCCTGACGGACTAGGTTTTTCCAGGGTAAGGATTTTACACGAAATTTACACACACACACAAAAAAAACTTTCTTGGGCAGACATTGTGACTGTTGCAATTAGCACACACGGAATACTCTCAATTGACCGAGATAATTATACTGGAACCATGGGTTCGATATATGGTGCCTTATTTCCCCAGAAAGTGAAATAATATCTTCTCCCACTCACCGGTGTTTCTGTGCTCTCTTCCCCGCAGCCGCCCTGGTACCGTTCGCCGTAACGCGGCGGATAGGACACCCGTACCAGAACCGTACGCCTCCCAAAAGGAAAAAGCCTCGCACCTCCTTCTCCAGGGTCCAAATTTGTGAGCTGGAGAAGCGTTTCCACCGGCAGAAGTATCTGGCCAGCGCCGAACGCGCAGCTCTGGCCAAGAGTCTGAAAATGACAGATGCGCAGGTGAAAACCTGGTTCCAGAACCGCAGGACCAAGTGGAGGTTGGTATGACATTTAAAATCCATCTTTACTTGCAAATAAAAACATATTTCATGACATCTCGCGAGAGCCATGTGGCCTTCTTCCTTGTCGAACTTTCCTGTGACACCGTGCGTAACTTCCTGTTGCTTGACCCTGGAGTCAATTTGATTTAATTGGATGTGGGGGGAAAAACACACAAAAAAACTGCAGAATTATTTCATTACTTTCGCAATAGATTTTAAATTGACATTTTGAATATTTCTTTGTAATTATATCATTTCTATAATTTAATTTAAATAAACATAAAACATAAAACAAACGTCTCTTTAATTGTGTCGATTCGTTCGCTTCGTAAAAATAATTTTATTTTATTCGTTAATATTTCCTTGTCTTGGAGACTCTTCGTGTGACTCTTCCCACGTCAATCTACTCCTGATACTGTTTATAATCTTCGTTTTTGTCTATCAATAATTGATGAATGGTGAATTTATTCTTAATAAAAATCCTCTCTCCGTCTACTTACAGGAGACAGACAGCCGAGGAGCGGGAGGCGGAGCGTCAACAGGCCAATCGTCTCATCCTGCAGCTGCAGCAGTCCGCCCTTCAGAAGTCCCTCGGCGAATCAGCGGTGTCGGATCCACTGTGCGCCCATAACTCCTCCCTGTACGCCCTGCAGAACCTCCAACCCTGGGCCGAGGAGAGAGAGTGACAGGGACTGAAAAATCCACGCTGAAATTAATAACTTTCTTTTTTTTTTTTGTTATCAAATGACAAAAGTCAATGAGACCAACCCGAGGACAGGGGAACCCGTAATGGTTCCACAAAATGGAGAAAAACACTGTAACAAAACATGGAACTGAACTGAACATAACTTGGTCCAGAGTTGGAAGGTTAAGAGAGGTGAACTTTTATAGACTAAATCTGCGACTTCTGTCTTTGGAAACTGTGAGTCTTTGAGAACAAACAGAGGAGCTTTACCGGAAGTTGTCTTCTAAAGTAAAATATCACGTCACCTTGTGGTCGTCTTCGTCTGTTTGGACTTGTTCTGCTCAGAATAAGCCAGAGGAAGAACGTGAAGAAGACCTAAAAGAAAGAAAGAAAAAAACCCAACGTGACAGAATTATAAATAAATCATCTTTTCTTTTATTTGGACATCATCCCCCATTTTAAACAGACATATCACATTTTCCAAAAGATCTCAAATTGTGGGTCAGGACTCAAAAAAAGGGTCACATGGATGGATTTGCTTGATCGCAGAACCAGATCAAACTGGAAAGAAATCACTAATTTATTGAACCCAGAAAAATAAGTAGAAAAGTATTTGTTTTTTATTAAACAACTAATGTTTTTTAACTTAATCTGAAAATGGAGAAATTGTAATATTTTCATAAGGTTTTACACCATATCAACCAGTCATAATATAATTGATAAAAATATATAACATGATTCTAACAAAAACATGTGTAAAGTCCAGGTCCTTTTGGCTTGAATATTTAAATAACGCTGTTCTGGAGCACCTGAATTAATAATGTTCACTTCTATAATTTAAAATCTGTTTAAATGACACCGTTTTCTTACCTGCATATCTTGCACACAGATGTATGAAACCCCACAGTCACGCACAGTGATGCTCCAGCCGTGCATTTGGGAATATTCACTCCACATAGACGACAGGCTGTAATAAAGGCAGTGATGCATGTTCATCGTTGGTGGTTATGTTTTTTCATATGCACATAATCACCCGCTTCATTTGTGGGCTGTATCTGTCTGAATGGAGGAGCAGCATAACAAATGTTTCCTGTTTGTTTTTTTCTTTTTTTGTACTTTAAATGTAAATGTGTAAACAACAGTACAGAAAACTGTTATTGTGATTCCTGCTCCTGACCTTGATGATGCAACGAAAAAACTCTAAGTTTTTCACACACAATAATTATAATAATAATAATGATAAAATAAACAAAAGTTTGAGAAATGACAAATAGAAGAAATGGGTGGATTTTTGTTGAAAAGTTTATTGATAAATATAATGAAATCTTTTTACAATATTTTCTATACACACATGGTTTCATTCTGACAGTCGTCTTCATGTCTCTGTATGTGTTCACGTGCCTGTCTATCTGTTTGTCTTCCTGTCCGTCAGTTTATCTCTTCAGCAGGTTATATTATATATATTTGCAACGCATTTGATCCCAGAGAGGAATTTTATTTCACGTCTGGCAGCACAGTGAGTGGACACGCATGACAACATCATTGACACAAAATCACTGATAAAGGTGTTTGTGACCTGCTCCAACTGTTAAACAATGGCTCTCTTCCCAAACATGGCTTCCATTCCTTCAGAATCAGTGAAAAGGTCTTTTTATGATTATCAACTCTTTTTCTTTTAATTCTTTAATTTCTGACTCACTTGTTTTCACTCCAGTTCTCCACCGCCTGCCTTCTGTCTCTGACCCTCACAGTGAAAGGTTGATTTGAGCTGTATTTTCATCAGACATGATTGAACAGAAAACTTTCTTCTCTGCGGCAGAAACATGATCAAATCACCCAGGCTTAGAGTGAGGTGAAAACAATTATGGTCAAATAAATAGATTTCAGATTAAGAATTAAATTAGGAAACCACACACAGAGACATTTAAATGCATGCACACCCCTGTAGTTATAAGCCAGCAAACCTTCCAATTTGTCTCTTTATTCAGCAAAATTCCAGTGAGAATAATTAGGGTTACATCCAATTAGACAGAAAGACAGATAGATAAGACAGTCAGAAGCACCAGCACACAGACAAACAGATACACAAATAGTTCCAGACAGTGAGAAGAAATAAATCACAGGTACGACAGTTAAATATTAATCTGTACACATGAGTCTTTACAACACTAAAACACTGACTGACACCACTGGAACACACAGTGGGGACCTTTTACGAGCCGACGTGAGACGGTGGGAAGCTGGCGGACGTTGCACCGACTGCGCCTGTACTGTGTGTAAAACAGATGAGGTGACGCTGCGAGAGAGCAATCCCAGACATAACCTCCAAAACAAGACAATGAGGGGTTTTTATGGCACATATTCACTGGGTGTTAAATATGCTGTGGGCCTCGGTCTTGCATGCTTCACAATATTGCTCACATTTGTTGTATTGACACAGAAAACAACATCATTTTCAGCCTCTAATGCAAAAAGAATTGCACTGGGGTGAATCCCACTGCTTGGCTGGAAATCCAGTCCGGTTTGATGGGAATTGAAAGTATTTACAGTGATGATTGTTGGGCGTGTTACTGCTCTCACTGCTTCGGCTACAAACATGAGAGCTGGAGACAATTTTTTTTGTTTACAGAAAGGTCAAATCAAAGGGCTAGGTTCGGAAGGACATTTATCCAAAACCACCGGCGGTTTTTCAACCCTGATTTTCACAGCAAGACTTAATGAGGTTTTGTGGCAGCCAGTGCATGTGACGTGACAGGCTCTATTTTATTTCAATTACAAAACATCCTTTTCTTCTGCTTGGTTATTTTCCTTTTTCTGTGTTCTGCCTTCTCTCCTCTTTTGGTCTCACTCAGTTTGGGTGTTTCATCTGTTTCAGCTGTTTCAGTGCCGCCTTCTTCCGTCTGGTCTAGATGACATTTTCAAAGAGTTGTAGAGACCTCATGATGTTTTCATCCTGCGGAAAGAATGAAGTGGTAAATGAAGAATCCAAGTGAAGGGAAAGCCAAGCAACAATTACCATTTAATTCAGTCTACTAGCCACCAGAGGGCACTAAAAGCCAATAATCCGAAGGCAGTAACGCGTTAGCTCTCTTTCTTTCACATTTTTATTGCTAACACAAACACAACGTTCAACATCTTTTTTACAATGACTTGCAAATATTGAAATTATTTGATTTAAGATTTGCACATGCGCAGTTCTGAGTACCTCTTGACAAGACAGGATGAATTCATCCAGAGTGACCACACCATCTCTGTTTTTGTCCATTTTCTGTGGATAAAATACAATTGTGTTAGCAGTTAGTAAAATATATATTTATATGTTTTACATTTAAAAACAGTCACACATTTGCTTGATACAGTAGATAAAAAACAGCCCTGGTCTATATTGTTTTCTCTAAATATTGCAGAATCTCTGACAAGCTTTCCTCAGTGTTGATGTACTTTGTTTTAGATTTAGCTCCACCTAGAGGAAAAAGTTAAAAATGTCTTCACCTGAAAGAAGGCATCAACATGTTGTTTTGGTGCGTCTGTTTTTAAGGCGGGGTAAGTGTATTTGCCCATCATGTCATATATTGCTCTGACGATGCCTGTCATCTCCTGTAGGACAGAACAGAAGAGCACGAACAGAAAAGGTCAGGATCAGTAAATGTCCAGCACCTTCAGAGTATCTGTGTCAGTATTGCTGTAGAAACTCACTTCTTTGTTGATGTATCCGTCTCTGTTGATGTCATAGAGGTTAAATGTCCACTGGAGCTTCTCAGTGATGGAGCCTCTCAGCAGAGTGGACAGCGCTGTTACAAAGTCCTGGTGGGAAAAAAAGAAGTCAATTCAAAATAAAAAACAATTAGACCAGTTCATTAAAACAAGTCAACAATATAAAAAAACAAACACAGAATCAACCTCAAACTTGATGGAGCCACTCTGGGTTGTGTCAAATGCATTGAAAAGGTAGTGAGCATAAGTGCTGGCATCTGCAGGGGAAACAGAACAAACTGTAAACCCAGTGAAATCACTGAATACCAGAATTCAGTTACAACAAGTACCAGACATGATTTTGCTTTACCTCCCTGTGGGAAGAATTGGGAATATATTTGCTTAAAGGTTTCTTCATTTACAACACCACTTGGACATTCCTGGGAAAAAATGCAAGACAAAACCAATGAGGCAGTCAGAGAAATGTCGACATAACCCCTTACTCTTTAATGTTTTTATTTAGTTGTATCATGTTTTTGACAAAGTTACATTAAGAAGAAGGAACAATATGCAGGAAACAGGCTAATCCCACCTGCTGGTGGTTGAAGGTGGTTCAGTATTGGGACCCCTGGTGTTTATCATGTGTCTTACTGTGTATAATATATATTAGGACATATTCTGTGTTTTACAGTCACTCACGTTCTTAAAACCTCTGTAGAGCACTTGGAGCTCTCGTTTGCTGAAGTTTGTTAGAGCTTCTAACTGGTCCAGGCCCTCTGGTCGGTGACACACCATGGTCATCTCCAGGTCATCATCATCTTTATCTGAAGATATAAAGATAAAAAAGAATTACGTCTTTCAATCTCAAATCACCCACTAGTTGCTGAGAGGCATGAAGGCAGATGTAGAGGAGAACAAATTGCCAAATATAGCATAAAACCCAAGATAATTACATTGCAAAACTAGAGACTCAGAGAGCAGAGCAAAGGAGAGGAGGACACCTCTTTATTCTCCTTGCTGGAGGGCAGAGGAAAGAGAGAACAAACCGTGGACATATACTCTACACACAGGTGCCTATAGTGAGCAGCATCTGTCCAGACCCCAAAGACATCCCCTAGTCTCTAACAGGCTTTTATATACCTACTCATTTGAGTCAGCACATACTGTTCAGCAGTCATTCATACTGTTGTGTCTGTTTGTACCGTAACACTGGTCTTGTTGTCATGATGCAAAGATAAAAAGAAACAAGAACCCATTTTTTTCTGTGTAATTTGCTTCGTATTGGCAGAAACTGACTTTCAAAGTAAATGCTTCATTCAACTTCCAAGCCCAGCTTCAGCCCACAGAGCTGTCAACTGTCTGATTCACAGTTTAATTCAAAAGCCCTAATAAGTGATTATTGCGCCGTCATCAGGAAGTTTGAGCAATAATACTTTTAGAGGCTCCTGTTCTGCTTTAATTGAGTGTCAGAGAGTGCAGGGTTCACACTGCCCTTGGTGATCCACACTCTGAAACATCAACGGCCTGGAAATAGAAACATCTTTATGTGTGTGGAAAGATTATTAGTGCTCCTTTGTAAAGCTTCATTACAGCGGTGCGTCGACACTTCTGTTCTGTCAGTGAATCATGGACACCAGGTTGGCATTTTTTTACTGCGAGACAAAGACATCAGGCTTCACCTCGCTGCTAAATTAAACCTCACCATGTTGGATTCAGCATTAGAAGCAGCTGTAAACAGCTGTACAAACGTGCGCTGGTCAAGATCAGGATTCAAAAATCATTGAGAACGTTGACACTGTGGCGTCTTTGTACTGTGAGTATGTTACCTGGCAGAGCACCTTTAGGATGCCGAACTTCCCCACTGAAGGAAACATTCTGAATGACTCTATGACAACTTGGATCCAAACATCAGTGCCTTCTTTGCTGTTTAAAACTACAGAATCACATTAAATTCAATAAAGATTTTTATTGTCACTGTTAACAAACAAAGCAGCCTCTTAGATTAGCAGCATGTTAAAGAAAGGTATATAAAGAAGACACGTTTAACGATGTTTGATGTTTTATTTCTAAAAGTCTTATGGCCCAGAATGTGTCCATGTTCTCAAAGAAGTGTTGTCAAGACATAAAGAAGGTGGAGCTAGGTGTGGTTTCTGCAGGATTTGCCAACTTAGGACTAGTCTACAAGGGGACTGCCGATTGGGTCAGAAAATGCAATTAAAGAGTATTTATTATAAAAATGTATCTCCTGCACATTGTTATTAGTGGTGTACAGCACCGTATAAAAGCAAAACTCTGTACTCCATTTTTGCAGCCAGTCATATTATCACCACTGTATGCTGTTATATACTGACACAAAAAAATGATGTCCATGCACTTTCTTCCATCCTAATCACACGTTAAATATATCAGCTCCAAACAGTCTGGTCTTTGACCTCTGAACTCTGCCATCAACAAAGTGTATTCACCCACCTGACATCTATTCCTTCTATTTATTGTTCTGGGATGTTCCCTGTAAACTATGAAGAACATTGTGTGGACCAATCAAAGCAGATCAGCAGTTTCTCAGACCAACTCGTCTCACACTAGTGATCTTGCCGCGGTCAGAGTCACTAAAATATTCTTTGCCCTTGTTCTGAAGCTCGGTTTGAATTTGCCTTCACTGTGTCAACATGGCGAAATTGATTGAGTTGCTGCGATTTGATTGGCTAACGATATATTTGCACAATGAGCAATTGAAGCTGTGTACACTGTGAATCAGCTGCTTCAGCACAGACATCACTGATCACGGCGAACGCAGTAAATGAAGAACTATGAGTCTTTCAGCGTAACAACATTACCATTACTATACAACCATGAGCTATAACAACAAATGAAAAATAAATACATAATGTTATATAATATAATATACACAGTACTGTCACAGTACATGACAGCAATACTGGCACTAAAGAAGTACTTAGCAGTACAGGAATGGTTGTGAAAGAGGGTTGAGGAAACAATGAGATAAATTAATTACGAAAAGTCAGAGTAAAACCTATAAATAATGTTGTAAAATAATGATGATTAAAAAGGCTGATGTTTGGTTTTTAAATAAATCACCGATCACTAAATCACTTTTTAAATTTTGTCTTTTTAATTTCCTACAAGAGCAGCAGTCTATCTAATATTCACACATAAATAACACAAGTCCCTTTAAAAATTAATTAAAGAACAATTAGTGCTGGATTGCACTGATGGTTGATGTGGACTCACCCTCCACCGAGATGACTCCCAGTAGGTGCAGCATTTTAACGGCCCCACAGCACAGCAGAATGATGGCTATGGTCTGTAAGCTGTTCTCACTCTGTTTCTCTCTCTCCATTTTGATTAATTCTTTCTCTCCCACCGGCCTCGGGGTTATCACGTCGGCCCACCTCTCTTTTCCTTTTGCTTACTGCAGCTTCTTCAACTCTCCGACATTTGTTTTAATAGAAATAAACAGGAGAGCGAACAAATGCTCTCATACTTTACAAACCATCCGGCTGCAGATGGTAAAGTTTTCACCCGTCCTGCGTTCTCCTCCTATCAGCTCTCAGCTGCCTCTCTCCCTCCTCTCCCTGGGGCATATCCCTCTCTTATAGTGACCTTCGTTCCCCTCCAGAACCCTCCCTCTCCATCCCACCCCCAGCAACTCCACCAACTCCACTCCTCCTCCTGTGTTTCAGTCATATTGTGTCCTTTAGAGTCTGGGGGGACGGGCCTGAGCACATGATCAACTCACCTACAGTTTGACCGTGTCTTGTGTGTGTGTGTGTGTGTGTGTGTTTGTTTGTGACTGTGTGTTTCAATGAAAGAATCAGAGCCTGATTAATTGTCCTCATTAGGACGTTCACCCCCTCCAACATGGGGCTTCGTCCACAAAGTGACTTTCTCACTCAACGATCCCTTTCACACGACTTACTGCACAGTCAGAACACAGTCAGAACACAGTCAGAACACAGTCAGAACAACCCACGAGCTGATTTACTTCAGTTTGTTTAATAACATGGGAGTTTTCAGCAGGTAGCCTGTCTACAAACGGAGTGTTTATTATGTCATTTCTCCTTTAGAGACATTTGTAGTACAGACACAGAGGGTAATGCTCATGTGGTCAGCTGCTAAAGCCATCAGACATATACAGTATATTGTAGGGCCAGCTGTAGCCCGCTTCCCCTGTGATTGGGTGAGGGCAGGATACACCCTGAAAAGATTCAATCTCATACATAGACAAACAGCTGTTCACACTCATATTCATGGTCAATTTAGAGTGAAGAGTTAGCCTAATGAGCTTTACTGTTCACTTCACTAATTAGACAATAAAGTATTTTTGTGAACCTGGCACTGGATTAAATAATGTAAAAAAAAAAGTTATGAGTTATGTGAAGACCAAAAATAGCGAAATGTTGGAGGTAAATAGCTACTTAGCTAATGGTTGGCAAAAATGGTAAAAACATAAAAGCTTGGAAAGTTAGCAAATTATATGAACTATAAAAAAATGTGACCTAAAATAAAAGCAGCTTTAGAAAAGCAGAATCTTTATACAGTAACTCTTACTGCATTCCGACTCAACTGTTCCACACAGACACACACATCAATAATGTCAGTGGCAAAAAAAAAAGAAATCACAATCACATTTGACAAAGTCGCCCTTCACGTAATGTCAGTGAAATGTAATTCACACTCATGTAGTCAAAACGGCTCCTGTTAAAAAGTAATTGCGCCGTCTGATGGATTTTTATACAACAATCTATTTTAGGGAGGAGTCGCAGACAACATTAAACCCATCCAAGCGCTACAAACCCCGTGAAGATAACCTCGTTATTCCCAGGGTAAGGTTTATTGGACTGCCAAGGAAAAAAAAGTAGATCAAACATCAAACGCAAAACCTGAATTTATCACCGCAATTAAAACTACAAGTAGTATTTTAGAGTCGTTTACAAGACTAATGACTGCAGTAATTAATGATAATATGAATGTTTGTTCTGCATCAGTTGCTCTTCCTGTCATCCTTAGACTTATTAACAAGTGTTGAACAAATATAAGCTGAAGTAATCTGCATTTGTTATAATAACAAAATTAAATGATTGCAGTTGTAAAACATTCAGACGAAATTTGACAAAGCACATACTTTTTCCTGTTATAATTAGACAAAGAAAGTTAAGGGTAAAGTGTTTAATGGGTCAAGTTTCTTTTCAGTACACTTTAAACCATTGATAATAATCTCTTAGAGTAATGCTAATTCCCTAAAATAAATTAAAAGTCAGAATATGCATATAAATTGGGATGGGAAAACCAAAATCAATTTGAAAAAAGTAGTAGAGTAGAATATTAGCATAATTATATGGAAGAAAGAGAAACAGCTAGTTAGCCACTAGAACTAGCAAAAAGATCCAGTTATTAGCCCGTGAACAGCAAACGGTGAGACTATTTTAAGGAAGGAACTTGCTTTAACCCGTGCACAGCAGCAGGGGGCAGCACCTGCCAACACACACATCAGTATACACCGCAGCATTTAATGGAGATGTGTTGTACTTTTCATTACAGCAGATTTAACTGTTGGAGTCAATCACGAGGATAATGTTTCACAAATCATAACGGAGTGTTTCTTTGCCAAATAAAATTTCTCTCTGTTTTCAAACTTTATACACACGGCAGTAAAACACAACGGAGTGAACACAGGGTACTTACTATTCACTGTGAGGATCTCACACTGATTTAATGTCCTAATGTGGAGGCAAAAATGAGCTGTGACTGCAGAAGCTGAAGTGTACACACCGGCCATCAGACAGCAGGGGGCTCTGCTGTAACCATAGGTTTCCCACAGAGTTGTCGCGGCCATGTTTGCTTTATTTACCGCACAAACAGCAGGTCTGAGTGAAATTAAATCTGCTAGCCACAGAAGCATTTAATTCAATTTGGCAAACATTTAAAACGTGCTTAGCGCAGACACGACTCGTTCAAGATGATTAGGTGAATATTGACTCCTTTCAACTTGTCAACCTCATCGTGTCCTGCTGAGATTAATTAGAAGCATCAACACTCAGGTGTAAACTCTTTATTATTCCAAAGCACCATTCCAAACATTAGAGGGAAAAATATGATGCAATTTATATTATCCTAAGCACATTTCACATTAATTCAGGCAATTTAAATGGCGGGCAGATGGATTATGAGTCCGCTTGGAGTCTAACTCCACTAAATATTCAAATCCTCAGATTGGAATGTAAAGGGGGGAAATGATCTCTTTCATTTTTTAAACATATAGTCTGCCATATTCATTGTTTGCGTTGGAGTTAACATCTCACGAAATGGTTACAGCCTGAGTTATGAAAGATTGATGAACGTGGTCTATTTTAATGAAGCACAAATGAGGTGCATTCATTCATGGACAACTTCAGAGTTAAATATGCTGCGTACAGTTAGCATATTACAAATGTACAGAACCAGTAGGGAGACAAGTCGAACAACGCCAACTGTTTCTGAAGCAGACGTGGGCAAACATTTTGACTCGCGGGTCACAATTGATCTTAAGATTTGACGGGGGGCCAGGTCAGCAGATAGATGGAGCGTTAAGATAAATGACATGTAAAAGTCATACGTAAAGGCTAAAATGCTAAAATGCTTTAAGTTAAAATGAATAACAAAATTTGGACAAATTTGGCGGGCCGGATTACAAAGGCAAACGGGCCACATCCAGCCTCCGGGCCGTAGTTTACCCATGCCTGTTCCAAAGCAGCTTATGCTGTGAAAAAAGTCAGCTTTTTACAAAAGTCTTTGTATTTCTATTTTTAAATACATATATCTCCCACGTGACGGATTTGACGGAGACTCTCTGACGGAGTTGACCAGATTTATCATTACTGCATATCATGGTAAAGTGTGTTGGTTGATCAGGTTCAACCTTCAAAAACCAACAGTTCACAAACAATTAGAAGGAACATCCAATTTGCAGCCAGACCAGATCTACTGTAGCTCTGTGTTAGTTGTCTTTTCTCTTTCTCCAAACCCATTAGAACATTTCAAAGGAACTCCATTTGAGTCCTAAGAGAAGATGCAGGTTGTGACCGGGAGCAAATGTTTCGTACTCAGCTGCTGTCAAATATGAAGTATTTTATAACTTACACCCAGCGAGCCATAAAAGTGCAAAATTCTACATCACAAAGAAAAAGCAATGAATATTAGAATAAGATCGCTTGAGGAAATGAGAGTTATATGTGGCTGGTGAAAACTTGAAAAGTTCAACAAAGTTTCCTTATTGCTGACGAGCAGAATTTAGGGAATCCGTGTGATTAATGCTGCACGACTGAATCTGCAAACGCAGCAGGTGTAAAACCCAAATACACCAACCCGCAGGGCGACCTCCTAAGCTTCACCTCCATCTGTTACACGTGCTATTATAAGATGGGGAGTTTGACAGTGACCAAAAGCCTGAACCTTTCTCTCTCTGAGCATGTCTGGATTATTACAGTGGACTGAGCTGCTGGCTGAGAAGGCTGCCTCCCACCACAAAGTCTTCTCCCATCAGTGAACACACAACCTAGAAACAAGACTTAACTCTAAACTCTCTATTTCTACGCTGTCTCTTTCTCTCTTTTTTTCCAATGAAATCCTTCCTTCTCCTCCACTTTTAATCTCGCTCACACCGCTCCTCTACCTCTGCCACACATTACACATCATATTACACTCTGTACTCTTTGCCAGAGAGTGTGTCATTTGCATAATTCTGAATTAGCCTAATCTGCTGTCCTGCTGTTAATGTGGAGGGCTGCTCTGGCTGGATCTTCACCGAGGAGAGAGCTCTCAAAGAAAGTATATAAAAAAATAAAAAAAATCCAAGAGCTACAGGCGGTAGCTCAGGAGGAAGGTTTTAAAAATAGACTCCAGCAGCTACAGACCTATTTACTAAAGACCGTGCAAAATCTGCAGACATAATCATGTTTCTCTCTGGAAACGCAAGCTCCCATTCGGAGATGCACGGTTCCTCCGCAGCTAACATCCTCCTCAGAGGAGCGGGGGTCGGCCCACGGCTGGTTCACCGTATGAACAGCCACTGACTTTTTTCATATGACCCACAAAACAAACAGCTGCTTACACATGGTCACTGACTCTCAAACAAGACCAACGAGAACGTGTAATTTCAAGGGGTCTTGCTTCTACACACACACACACACACACACACACACTCACATGATTGATTACCGATCTTCAGCCTGTAAGTGAGAACCCATGTGCCAGAGGGTAGCAGCAGTTTTTTTTAAATTATTTATTTATTTGTACAGGAGAATCTCAGTCAGATCAGTATTCAGTTTTTATACTATTGTTTTTCTAAATGAGTATTCGTTTTTTTCACACATTGTGCACATTCTTAATTTGTTAGTGCACTACAGTTCATTTTTCTTGGACGAAAACTGCAGCATGAAATGAGCATCTTCACTAAGAGTCTGCTTCTAGAAAAGACGGCTATAAGAGCTATAATCTGTAGTTTCTTAATTGATTTAACGAGGGAGAAGACGAGCAAAAGAGTCACAGAGAAACCTGTCTCTGTCTGTTAACCCAACCACCTGTAATAGGACTGCAGTACTGTTTGGGGACAGATGTAGG